ACCCCAAAACCCCAAAACCCCAAAACCCCTTAGAGATGGAAAATAATTGAAATTTTGTGGCTAAATAGTAAGACGGATATACTAGAGGTCTAAACAAAGGGTTAAAATATATGAGCTTGTTTTGTGTGTAAAAATAACCATACAGGCTATTTTCTTGCTCACATGTAATTCTCAAAGCCAACCGCCCTTTCTATCTTCTAAACACAAGGATATTCTCAGTCACTGGGTTCTTAAAGCCTTCTTAATGTTGATCACATTGCTTAATTGCATGTTGATAAAAATTTATGATAAACACTTCAAAGTATAAATTTTAATAATAAATTTTTTAAAAACAGTAGTCGAAAATATGGAAGCTACTCAGCAGTACACCCTAATGGCTTAATCCCTATAGACCAGAAGAGACAAAAGACAAGGTATCGAAGAAAGAAATGAAGAGGATCCAGAAGAAGCTAAACAGAAAGTTAGCTCAAGGTATATCTGTAAGACCTCCTCTCTTCTTCCTTTCTTATATTTCCTTGTAGGCTTTAGTCAGAGCAGAGAAGAAGGAGAAAGATGATTTGATCAGTGAAGAGCCTACTAATAAGCTCTTTGTTTTCCATTTTGGGAATGGAGATGAAGAAGACCAAAGAGTATTGATGGAATATTGCAAGCAGTTTGGACCCATTGAAACAATTCCTCTATTCCCTGGTCTTAATTATGGATTCCTAGAGTACCCAGAGGTTCAGCAAGCAAAGGATTTGATGAATAGTCTCCAAGATGGCAAGTTCATTGATCTGAAATTTTATGATAAGATTAGGACATGCTGTTTCCAATATTCCAAGGTGGAGTACGACCAAATGGACAAATTCAAGTCAATGGAGTTCCCTAACTCAACATACAAGGTAGATATTGATGGGCTCTACGTAATTGAAGATTTTGTGTCTGAGGAAGAGTCCCAAGCAGCCAAAGAATGGCTCGATAGCCAAGAATGGATCAAGCTGATGAATCGAAGAGTCCAACACTTTGGATATGAGTTCGTCTATGGAGCTAATGATGTCAATAAGACAGACAAAATTAGGGATATGCCAGACCAAGAGAATGAAACATTCAAAGCTATCAACGATAGAATCAATGATGCTTTGAAAGGATTCTATTTTAATTCTGAGAAGGAAGCTGTCAGAGTTTTTGATCATAATGGAACAAAAATTAAAGAAGAAGTGAAATCTGTTGATAGTATGGATAACTATTTTGATGAAATTGGTGAATTTGATCAGCTAACAGTTAATGACTATATCCCTGGGCAAGGAATCCCTCCCCATATTGATACTCACTCTCCATTTGAGGAAGTTTTCGTAGCTTTATCATTAAATAGTGAGGCTACTATGACATTTAAGTCTGCAGAGGAAACAAAGCATATCTCTTTAAAGCCAAGAAGTCTTATGATTTTCAGTGGAGAGGGGAGATACAATTGGTTACACTCTATCCCTACAAGGAAGTTTGATAAGGTCAACGGACTAATCAAGAGCAGACGCAGAAGAATCTCTCTGACATATCGTAAACTTAGATCAAATCCGGTTTGCGCATGCAGATGGCCCAGGATGTGCGATTCACAGAATAAAGAGGTAAGAAGAAGGATTATTAGATTTACTATTCTCTATCAAGATTAACTAAACCATTTTCTAGGTAGCAGTTGATGAGAACAAACTAGTAGGAGAAGGAGATGAAGTCAAGCTAGATGCAAGTTCTTCAAGTAACTATTTACACCTAAATATAGATATTGAGCAAAAGCACGTCTATGATGTGTATGAGAAGATAGCTCCTCACTTCTCAAATACTAGATATAAGCCATGGCCTAAAGTCCAGGAATTCCTAGAGTCACTACCAGATGGATCTATCAATTGTGACGTCGGGTGTGGAAACGGGAAATACTTATCATGTGCAGGCAAGAATGTTCTCAGCATTGGAACCGATAGATCCTTTAACCTCACCTCAATCGCAAGAGAAAGGAATCAAGGAAGTCAGACATTTGTTTGTAATAGTCTGAACCTTGCATTAAGAGACCAAGTATTTGATTCTGTGATCTCAATTGCTGTTATTCATCATTTCTCAACGAAAGAGCTCAGGATCCAAGCCATTAATGAGCTAAAGAGAATCTGTAAAGTTGGAGGTAAGAAATATTAGTAAATTCTTAGGAAAAATCTTAATCTATGTCTGGGCATTTGAGCAGGAAAGAAAGTTTGCAACCCAAGATGTCTTCGTCCCATGGCATCTGTATAATAAATATGATAAGCAAGAGGTATCATCGAGGTTGATTAATAAATAGGAAGGAAAGAAGGAAGTTAATATTGAAAAGAACACAGGATTCATAGAAACAGCAATAGAAGATGAGACTAAGAAAGCTACTATTTATCACAGATACTACCATGTATTTAAAAAGGGAGAGCTTGAGGAGCTGATTGATCAGATTAATGGATTAGATATCAAGAAAAGCTACTACGATCATGCTAATTGGTGTGTTATCTTAGAGAAGACTGAGCATTAAAATCTCAATATTAATCTCTCAATTACAGTAAATTGTCCAGGGGTTTTGGGGTTTTGGGGTTTTGGGGTTTTGGGG